CACACCCTCTCCAGCGCAGAGCAGCCCGCCGCCGCTGTTGCCGTGTCCCATATCGATGCCCAAGCGGAGGTTATTGGTCAGGGCAACCATGGCAGTCTCCACTCCATATCCTGTCCTGAAGCTGGTTTGTTAAATATGTTACTTGGCAATTTTTCTATCCAACACTGTTTGTAATGCTGTTGATATTGTTATGTCTTGCTATGAGGGAATAACTAATCTCTGTGGATGTAAAGTTGGAAGTAGCAGCTCAGCATTGCAAATGGAAATAAACTTTTTGATGACTGTGCACATTGATGCAAAAATATTGTTTCTCCCCATTTGTAATTAGAAGCTTGGACATAATGTTATCATGTTTAATTGTCCACAGGATATTTATTTACATTCAAACAAAGAGACATTCAGCAAGAAAAATTACTTTTGATATTGACATGTGATCAAATGCTAAATGAATTAGGCTTTACTCCCAAACCTCCCTTAACACACATATACACAATTTCCATGATGTGCAATCCTCATTTTTACTAAATGGTGAGAATTTCAGTTCAGTTCATTGTGGATAATAGGGATGTAATTCTTTACTAATTTCTTTCTTGAAGGAAGCAAAAAGTAATTTTAGCAACTTTCTTCCCATTGTAAGAAAGTTTTTGAAAATTGTGGTTTTTAAAAACTATTCAGAGTACAGAATAAGTATCTAACAGCAAAGTTTGTTATAAGTGCAGAATCACTCAGGGAAGGTAGTGTACCATCTTGTTTAAAGGAGGCAGCGGTTAGACCATTCCTGAAAAAACCTTCCCTGGACCCCCTGGATAGAAATAGCTATAGACCAGTCTCCTTGCTCCCTTTTTTGAGCAAGGTGATCGAGAGGGGAGTTGCTTCCCAACTCCAAGCAGTCTTGGATGAAACCGATTATCTTGATCCATTTCAAACCAGCTTCAGGACAGGATATGGAGTGGAGACTGCCATGGTTGCCCTGACCAATAACCTCCACTTGGGCATCGATATGGGTAGTGTGACCCTGTTGGAGCTCTTGGATCTCTCAGCGGCCTTTGACACCATAGATCATGCTATCCTCTTGGATTGCTTGAGAGAGTTGGGAGTTGGAGGCACTGCATTGCAGTGGTTCTGCTCCTTCCTCTTGGGCAGATCCCAGAGGGTGAGGCTTGGAGACAGTTGCTCTTCCAAAACAGAGCTTAATTGTGGTGTCCCCCAGGGCGCCATCCTGTCCCCAATGCTATTTAATATCTATATGAAGCCGTTGGGTGAGATCATTAGGAGGCATGGAGCATGGTGTCTTCAGTATGCTGATGACACCAAGATATACTTCTCCATGACCAGATAATTGTCTCAGAATTCAGATGGTGTCTCTCCTCTCAATTACTGTCTCAGAGCAGTAATGTATTGGATGAGGAAAAACAGATTGAAGTTGAATCCAGTCAAAACGGAGGTACTAACACTTACAGGCCCGAAACCAGATCTGAGAATACAGTTTCCGGTCCTGGATGGAGTTACACTCTCCTCTAAGGACTGTGTTCGCAGACTGGGGGTACTCCTTGACTCGTTGCTTCACATGACTAGTCAGGTGAATGCGGCAGTCAGGAGTGCTTGTTATCAGCTTTGGCTGATATGCCAGCTGTGCCCTTATCTGGATGCGAGGGATTTGAAAGCTGTGGTACACGCCCTGGTAACCTCTCATCTGGATTACTGCAACACACTCTACATGGGGCTACCCTTGTGCCTACCCCGGAAACTACAATTGGTACAAAATATGGCAGCCAGGTTAATTACTGGTACATCCAAGAGGGACCACATAACACCAGTGCTTAAATCCCTCCACTGGCTGCCGATTAGTTTCTGGGCACAGTACAAGGTGTTGGTTTTGACATTTAAAGCCCTAAATGGCTTCGGTCCATCTTATCTCAGGGACCGCCTCTCCCCGTATGATTCCCCCCCTGCGCCCTGCAGTCCTCTGGCAGGAATCTGTTACAGTCAATAAAAACTAGTCTGTCAGACCTCCCAGAGGACCATCTCTGCTACCGCTCCCAGACTTTGGAATGGCCTGCTGGGTGAGATCTGTCTCACTACTACTCTTGCTGCTTTCAAAAAAGCAGTAAAGACGGATCTCTTCCGACAGGCCTTCCCAGAATAAGAGCTGTTGTAGGGAGATGAGTTTTTATCCTTACCTTGTTGGCACAACTGATCCTTTGTTGTTATTTTATTGTTTTAATTGCACTATTATATTTTAATTCTTCTTTTGTTTAATTTTGTTTTAAGGGGTGGGAGGGTGGATTGGGGGGGAGGGAATGTTTTAACTTGGTTTGTTTTAAATGTTGTAACCTGCCTCGATTGCCCTGCAGAGGGGTGGGCTCTAAACAATTATTATTATTATTATTATTATTATTATTAGGATTATTTTTATCAGGCTTTCCTAACATACAAGACATATATTTTTGACAATTTCCAAATATTTTTTTAATATTTCTTCATGTTGTTTGTTGTTTGTGCCTTCAAGTCATTTCTAACTAATGACAATCCTAAGGTGAATGTATTAACCAGCTTTCCTTGCCAAGTTTCTTCACAGGAGCTTTGTTTACCTCCTCTGAGGCTGAGAGAGTGTGACTTGTCCAAGGTCACTCAGTGTGGTTTCTGTGGCCGAGTAGGGATTTGAACCCTGGCTTCCAGATTCATAGTCTTATTTTTAAACCATTACACCACTACTCCTTCATATCTACTTTATAATAACTTATTACCCTTCACAAATATTTCCAAATAAAAGATGAAAAATTCTTATTTTTTTAATTACATGTGGGGAAAACTGAAGCAAGAAGCAAGTGCTAAGGTTTTAAGACTTAAAAGTCTAGGTTTGAATCTATGTATTTTCAGTCATGTTAGATTGCATGAATATTTCTATCCCATTTTTCTGAGATGTTCTTCAACTTTGAACTATATATCAAGTGAGCATAATATGTTTTTCTCCACCCAGGATAGCTTTATAGTTTACTACCCATTTGAAGTGTGGAGGAAGATACTCACTGTGAGAGGTGTGTTGAAACTAGTCTGCCCTAAGTCTAAAGATAACACACTGCCTTCTAAACTGTTTTTTATGAATTGCATACTCCTCAGAAACATAACAGCTTGGATTCACAGTACAAACAGAATAACTACTTTTAACCAGAACTAGCTGGATCTATAAGGAATAACCATTTGCAAAGAAGGAGTTGTTGTTACAATCTAAACCTGTGTCATATAGAGACAACTGCTAACTACTGCAAGCCATCCTTATTGGATATGATAATAACAAAGAAAAGAGAACTTGATTTTATTTATTTTTGATGAATATATTAACATCCACATATTTATTCATACTTAGGGTAGGAGAAGAGTTTCAGGTTGTTGTTGCTTTTTTAAAAAACAAATCTAAAGTCTGAGAAAGAAACATTGGCAGATATTCCCATTCTCAGAGCTTGGTCACAAGAGAAAACAAAATAGAAATGGAGCCAGAGAGTAGCAGCTTTCTCCATGCCTTACCATATGATGTTGTAGAACTTCCTTTCTCTTCCCAATGGAGATGGATTTCTAGACACATTTTTTCAACTGACTCCCATGGGAAGAGAATGGAAGCACTACAATATCATGCAGCGAGGCAAAGAGAAAGCCACTACTCTCTGGCTCCATTTCTGCTTTGGTTTCTCATACTATAATGGTCTTAAGGGGGATGCAGATGGTGCAAAGCACCATCTTGGAGGCAGAGAAGGGGAGGAGCCCCTGATGACATCCTGCCGGTGCAGCCTCTGCACATGCTGCACTGGAAGAGATGTGGAAGTTTTGTGTGATGGCTCTTCCGGCACCCTTTTCGGTGGCTGTGTAAGGAGCAGTATTTTAGCGCTCCTTCCAGGGCTGTCCAAAGGGTGGATTGGGGCTGAGGCATGGGGCAGCTTCGGCCCCAATCCTCCGCTTCTCAGGGCAACCCATGGCCACCTATCTGAAAAGCCCCTTTGTTAATACTCTAGTTGCATCAATAGGATTGGTGAAATGGATCTTTTCCAGCTGATTTGCACCTAGCAAAATGGAAGACCAACTGCAATCAACTGAATTTGGCAGAATTCTTATTGCATTCATTGTGTGTTCCTCACATCTTCATTTGATCCTCAACAGTGCTGACTAGTAAACATGCAATCCTTGTCTGATTCCTCACTCTGATTCTTCTCAGTAGTGACCAGTATATATTGTTGTAAAATGACATAATAATTCTTGGAATCGTGGGCAATAAAATAACTATTCTCCTTGCAAGAGAGGTGTGAGATAATTACAGTGTCACATTCCCTCATAAAGGGCAGCCATCACCCATTCCAATCAGAGGTGGGAAATTTCTTTTGAAGTTCTTTGTTTCAATTTTTTTTATTGTTTTATGGCAACATTGCCTTAAATGCAAGAGTAGTCACACACAAAGCTGTCTTGCCAATGAGATGTTGTTTTTGCGATGTCTGGATTTCCATTTGTCAAAGCTCAAACAGAAAACATCACACAAAGGAGGATAGGTTTTTTGGGAGGAACATTAAATAGTGCAGAGGAGATGTAAACTATTGAAAAGACAAAAAGCCTGTACAGACTGGCCACAAGGGTCAGCCTGGGGGCGGAGTTGGATGGCGACTGCATGCCAGCTGCCCCAATTCTAACCCAATGACACTGTCACACTGTGTGCTCTAACTCACGGCACGTGACATCAGGGTGCACCAAAGGGGACACAGAAGAGATGCAGTGGTGGCAGTAAAGGTGGCTTTTTGCTGCTTCAAAAAGGAGTGGCATTTGTCAGCTCTTTTTGAGCGGCGAAAAGCCAGATTGGGGCCACACTATGTATGGCTCCAAAGTTTTTCTCGTGGAGCCTTCCAAAAGAGGCAGATCACCCTTTCTTGTGGTCACAAAAGTGTAGCCATGAGAGACCAGAGCATCCAGGAGCTGAAGTGCATACATGTGTTCCCAGATAGTTTGGCAGTGGGCCACATGCAGCCCACTCCCTGTACTACCAAAATATTTATATTGGGGAACACGGTGATAGAATAGATGAATAGGAATGCATAAAATTGCAGCTAGAAGAGGTATCAGCCATTCTTTCTCTAACACACTCCTCTTCTCGCTTCCCTCAGTAATCCAGCATGTTGGTTTAGAAGGCTTCAAGAAGGCAGTAATGCTTAACCTGTCCTCAATATCTGATTTTCTTTGTCCACTCCCAGGAGATCTCTGTGCCCTCATCAACTTTCCTTCTAATCAAATTAATTTGGTCTCAAATGGGCATTCACGGACATTCATGTGAGTATATCTTTTATAGTTTTCATGGCCCTTGATTGCCCATCAGAGACCAAGGTAATTCAATCAAATTTCACATTTCAAAGTTATATTAGAACTGGTAGACCTTACAGCAATATACTGGTGCTGGAATAATTTATTTTCCCACAACTATCTTCAGATGAACTGTGGATGGCAATGGCACCATTATTCCCATCAAAGATGAAGTTCCAGTGGTTGCAAATTTGCAGCCACTTTAACCCAGAATTCTTGGGAAGGGGTCATGGGTATCATTTTGGGTACCTTATTAATATGTGGCACTCCAGGTATTATTAAGTTGCAAGTCCCAGCATCCTCTACCTGGTGTAGCCAATGCTGAGAAATGCTGGTAGCTACGGTCCAATAATATCTGGATCAAGGAAGCTGTGCTAGTTGAAGATGTGTGTGTGGACACCACACACACATATGCTCGATGGCCTTTGGGGATCCCTTCCAACTCTAAGAGTCTATGTATTCCTGCATGGCCAAGAGTTTGGACTGGATGGCCCCTGGGGGTCCTTTCCAATTCTAGGATTCTATGTATTCCTGCAAAAGAGGGTTGGATGGCCTCTGGAGGTTCCTTCCAACTCTGGGATTCTAGGTATTCCTGCATGGCCAAAGAAAGTTGGGCTGTAGGACCCTTGGGTCCCTTGCAATTCTATCATTCTACATATTTTTGCATAGCAGAAGGGATTGAACTGGATGGCCCTGGAGGTTCCTTCCAACTCTAGGATTCTATGTAAATATGAGCAGTGTTATCTAAGGACATTATCACACATGGGCCAAAAAGCGAAAATAAAGTGGAAATGAGGCATTCTGAAAATAAACAGAAAATAAACCTCAATTCTGCAAACGTCATTACCTTAATTGCGAATTTACAGTAAGTGCATTGAACATCCACAAACAAGCGAAAAAAGCCCATAAATGTACTAGAAATGAGTTTCTTGCACATGTGCAGATAGAGGAATGCTTGCTGGAACCATGGCAACAGCAGGGAAATGCTCCCAAATGCGCATTTGGTTATCACATTACGGTAAATGTGAAATTACCGTAATTGAGCATTTGCATTTCCTCCAAACAACCGAATTTCAAAAGATCACGGTTAATACCAGTTTCTGTCCACTTTCTGTCCCATTTCTGTGTGATGTCGTGTGAAAACACGGGACACTAATCCAGTTTCTGTTTGGGTTTTGTGTGGATTAACCAGCAGATTTGCCCCCGTGTGATAACGTCCTAAGACTCATCCCTTTGCCCCTCTGGTGCTACAGGGCCAAATATTTAGCCACAGGAGCTGCAGAAATATTAAGGTGTGTGTGTGTGTGTGTGTGTGCGTGCGTGCGTGCGCATGCACACACGTGTGTATGCATGCATGTGTGCACACACATGCGCTTTCCAGAAGCCCATCAATGTATGGGGAGCCTGTGAATTTCCAAGGCTTTTCTTAATTGAGAAATCCTCCAAGGTGATTTTGCCAGTTCCTTCCTTGGAAAGCTAGCCTACAGCACCTAGTATTATTCCCTGGCAGTCTCCCATCCAAGTACTAACCAGGACAGACTGACTCTGCATAGCTTCCAAGATCTGGAAGTTATTGGACTGTAGCTGCCAGCATTCCTCAGCATTGGCTACCCCAGCTAGGGGCTGCTGGAACTTGCAGTCCAACAATAGCTAGGCTCCATAACTCCCTTGAGTTCAGTGCATTATATGATGCACTGGATAGAGCAAGGTAGACAAAAAAGGAGAATTGGCTCTGAAAAGTTTTGGACTACAGCTTCCATAATCTCCCGTTCAGCTATAGGACTGTTGTAAAAACTTACCCCAGTGTCTTCTTTACTTTGTCTCCTTTAGAAACCAGACCAAGGTATCTCCCCCCACTCCCATCCTCCTTTGTGCAACATTTTCTGTTTGAGCTTTGACAAATGGGAATCCAATCATTGCAAAAACAACATCTTACTTGCAAGAAAGCTTTGCATGTGACTTGAGTGTGAAAATTAACACACTCTTGCATTTATGGCAATGATGCCATAAAACAATAAAACAATTAGGAACAACAAATTTCAAAAGAAATTTTCAATCTCTTTATTTCATTTACAATTGAGCCATGTGAAAATTTTCACACCTATGCGATCATGTGACAAATTTCTCAGCTTGTACATAAATCAATTAAAGGGGCTGAGAAAGCAGCAATTCACATCTATAGTGAAACATGATGAATAATTGTCACTTCACTACCAGTATATATAGTGCACTTTCCACTGGTGTTGTGTTGAAATTGACTTAAGCCTAAAACACTGCAGAAATAATCCAGTTTGAGACTGCTTCAACTGCCCTGGCTCAATGTTATGGAATTCTGGAGAAACTGATCTGTCCCAGCTGATTTGCGCCTAGCAAAAATGGAAAAC